TCCAAAAACTCTTATTGGTCTAGTTTTTTTCCTCAAACATAAATTCTTTGGAACTTGCTTTCTTCATCTTGCTTTCCTGATTCATATAATTAGCCATCTTTTAAGACATCCGTTGATCGCTATCTTGATCTATAAACTTCATTTTTTCTCTTCAAGTAACTTCAAACTCTAATAGTATTTACTAGCATACTTGTTGGAAGCGAAGATGTTAAAAAAAATACTAAACAAAAAAATTTACTTTAAGGAAAGAAGTGTGATCGCACGCGATTTCTGAAAACGCTTAAAATATTTTGTTTTTACAACTCGACCACGGAAGTTAGCAGTTTTGAGCGTTTGGGTGATTTAAAAATACGCTTGAAAATTGAAAGATATTTTCAAAAATAACTTTTCTAAGGGTTGATCATATCGAAAAAAACCATCTTACCTGACTGAGTTACTCAGACAGGCGGGATGAGTTTCAGCTCGTGTTCCTATAGAAAAATCATCAATTTTTAAATCAAAAACTAAAAATGAAGTTTAATAAAAGCTTTTTTTTTTCGATTTACAAAAAATTATTTGATAACTTTCAACTTTTACTATATGCATATTAAAAGTTTGATAATGTTGCGTGTTTGAGTATGTAAATATCATTGATAAATTATAATTAAATAACGAAAAGAAAAATTTCGCCTTAAAAAACTTTAAGACAAGTGTTTAAGTTTTGTTAACATATATGGTCAAACAACTTAAATTAAAAAAATGCTATATAAAGCTATAATGCTTTAGGAAGGTTTTCAGCTAGTGTTTATATGAAGAATTTTCAGCCTGCTTAACCAATTTTCCTGGTAGTCCATAGGCAAGATCCTGCCTAGTCGGGGTGAACCGACTAGGTGACTAGTGAACCAAAGGCTTTTGCTAAAAAGTTAAGAAAACACTCCAAAAGTCCAAAAATTATAGCTGTGTCAACATATTAAACTGTTGTAAATAGATAGATACACTAGAACATATATATATATATATATATATATATATATATATATATATATATATATATATATATATATATATATATATATATATATATATATATATATATATATATATATATATATATATATATATATATATATTTTTTATATTATATACCTACCACATTTACAGCAAATTTCATGGCTTGATACATCATAAAACCAGATTGGATATTTAAACCGCCATCACTACCAATAGGAAAAATACCGTTCAGCAAAAATGTTCCGTTTCCTAACAAATAAATGCTTTCGCAATACAGTAAGTGATTACTTAAGTATTTGTTTTTTACAAATATATTTTATACAAATTCTTAAACTTTGCCTATATATTACGTGTGTAGTTTCTTCTATATAATTCAATGTTTATATATTTTAATAAAAACACACACTTCATAAGCGCTAAGAATGTAAATTCAGTCTATTAGTTAAGGGTGATTGCATTTTATTGTCTAGTTAGTTAATAATATCATATATCATTGTCCAATATGTGAAGGTAAAACATTTTTTTTTTTTAAATTTCTTCGTCATCTCAGTTGCCAAGCGTAAATTTTCTACAAAAAGGATAAAACCTGATCTGAATACAACAGATGCTGCGCAATAAAAGTTCTGGCGCAAGTGTGAACTTTAGCTAAGAACAGTATAGAATAGTACAATAAAAAAAACATATTTTTATGGCCATACATATCATTAAGTTCAAAATAATATAAGATCAATCGTAACAGGGTGGCCATATAAAATATTTATAAGAAAAGAGGATTTTAGAGAAGATTTTGCATTTAATTTAGAGTATTTTTTCGTAAACTACAAAATTTTGAATAAAAATATAGGATTTTAAAGGATTTTTTTTTCAAGGTTTAACATTTATGTTTTCATCTAACTGTGGTTTGGAAAGGGGTCAACAATGTCGTATTTTGTTAGATGACATGGGTTTGCTAAAATTGATTTTTTACAACCCAATTCTCATTTCAGACGTTACGCAACTTTGCAGACCATGAATTATACTACCATTATGATGAATTATACTACCATCAAGAAATAAAAACAAATAAAAAAGGGAAGTTAAAGAGGAGATTTTATAATATTTTTAACTTTTTAGAGAATAATAGAGGATTTTAGAGGAGGTTTTTGAAAAAAGACGACTTTAGAGGATTTTAGAAGAGCTGAGGCCACCCTGCATAAAATAAAATTAAAAAATGGCATTGGCTAACCATTATCTTTTTTTGGGCGAAGGAAATCACTTATGGTTGATCACGACAGAACTAAAACTGGACCTTTTTTGTTTGAAAACAACCACAGTCAAAAAAGACATTATTTTTTTTGTTGAATTATCAGAAGAAGAATTATAATTAGTTTCATTAGTTGATGGTTGACTCTTGGAGAACTTGGTTTTGTAAATGTGTTGTTTTGTTTCTCCAATTATCTGTTTCTTTCAAACGCAAAACCAAATTAGTTTCTTCGTTTACTTTTTTTAAGCACGTCGAATCTTGGGCAATCCAATACAAAATCATCGCAGCTTTTTTAAATTCTGTATAAATATTTTAAATACTATCTTCAGCAGGAGCTTTATATGTTACAAAATGTTGCACAAATGAGTTAAAGAACATATAACTGTAGAGAGGTGTTTAAAATTTAACTAAGTATATAATTTGTCCCAATCCGATATTTTGTTCACAAAATGTATTTATAACTAACAGGTTTATGTATAAGCCAGTTGCCTGTTCTTAAGTAAAACCTATTTGAAGAGATAGTTTCTAATTTGTATTAGTTAGAGTACTTTCATTCTAGTATAATGTTGATTTTAATTGGGTTGAAGCTTCAAAACCACTTGATTGACCCCCTCAAAGAGGTGTTCATCTCTAGCATGTTTCTCTTGTAAGGTTAACTTTTTATAATCAATAGCATAAGAATTAAATATTTGTAAGTTGCACTTCTTGAAAGCATTTTTTATTTTCGCCTTAGTCATCTATTTTAATTACATCAGAAAAAAATGACTAGCAAACGTTTCTTTTAAAACATACGCGTTGCATTTTGTTTTATAATCCTCTGCCACCTTTAACCATGCTGCCTTCATAGATCCAAGTTACAAATTAAACGTATAAACAAATTAACAATAATTACTGATTAAAAACCACTTACCCTAAACCACGTCATGGAAAATTCTAGCATTTACTTTAATGGATTTAAAGTATACGAAAAAAAGTTGGAAAAAAAATTTCTATGCAGAAAAACCCAATAACATATTAGGTTTTTCTATAAGCTTATAACTTATTTCATATTTAATAATACAACTAAAAAAAGTATTTAAACTAAAAAATATAATTATTCATAAATATACTTTGAAGATTGTTCTAAAAAAGACAAAGATGTCTGTAAACAATTAAAATTATTAATTGCCGAAAGTGTCGAATACTAGAACGTGAATTTTGCCGAAAAAAAAGACCGAAAAACATTTGCTCATTACAATGCTATTTATTAAAAAATTAAGTAATACCCATTTTTCCATCCACTTTTTGTGTTTCCGAGAAAATTAAATTTTTAAAGTTAATTTGTAAAGACTTTCTGCAGAATATCCGACTAATTTTTTCAATATTTATGAAAGTTGTATCATTCTTGAGACTAGATTCATTGGACACACACCCCATTGTTAAATGCTTATTGATAATAAACAGAAAAAAGACAGAAAGACGACATACGGCCTCTTGGTTCTCGGCTGACAAAGTGTCTTAGTGTACATATTTTACATGTAAAAAGTCAACTTTTATGAATTTTGTTGTTGTTGTGATTACTAACAAGGGAGTTATTTTGCTTTCAGTAGTTGCCACAGCCACCTTACACTCACCTTATTAAATTCATTGACTAATTCTATTGTTTATAATGTATTCCTAAATCTTAATAACAACCTGAGAAAGAAAAAAATTGCAATTAGATTATAAATAGTATATTTTTTGAGTGATTATCGAAAAGCTTATCTAAAATTTGTTGTTAGGCATAAAGTATCTCTAGGCAAAGTCTTTTTTAAAATAAATCCTCAGTGTGCCATAAAGACCATCAGGTTGAACTTCTCTCCACCTCTAATTTTTTTTTTATATAAAGATAAATGCTGCTTAAATATTTTTTTTTAACTTTAAACTTTAAAAACACCACAGATTTCAACTTCTAAAACACCACAGTCCCTTATAGAAATAAAACAAAGGAAAAACAACACGGAAAAAATAATGAATGCAATAAAAATATTAACACAACTACTGATACATTGAAATGTTTACAACTTATCTATGCAAAAAGTGGAAGTGACAGATTTTAATCTTTTACCATAATCTGTATGCATTTATTAAGACCAACTTGGTTTAAAGGCGCTGTAAACAGCCTCCCCAGTCTGTCCAGCACAAGATCCAAGAGAACAATAATTACATTCCCCCAACGGGATAATATGGCAAACCACTATATACACTTTCCATGCAACATTCAGCTCTGCGTTTAAATGTATTTTTGCATACCACTGTAGGTCAAAAAATGATACGTTGAATACTTCAATAACTGAAGAAACATTACTGCCTAATTCTTGTTTAAATGCGCATTCTTTAACTTTCGAAAACTTTCTAAGACAATGACCAATAGGTGTCAAATTAGTGCTAAAACATCTCATTCTAAAATATTATTATCTAAATATTGTCTAAATAATACTTTTTCTAAACGTTTTGTGGCATTATAGCCATCAAAGCCTATCCCATGATAACCTCGAAATAAAGTATAATGTTCTTTAAGCCAATTCGTAAACAGAGGCCAATGATCTAAAAAATAGTCATAATCCCTATAAGAAGATTCTGGTGGTGGATAAGATGTAATTCTGGTGGTTGAACTAAGTGATTTGTTTTAACTCTTTTATCTGCAATCGCTTTGCCCCATTTTCAAAAAATAACTTGTACCAATGATCAAGAGAACCTAACGTTCTTGGAATACCACTTTCTAGGGTACATTTACCTTCACACCATAAGCAGGTTTATTTACCAAAATAAGAAAATATTCCGAAAATGCTGTTAGCACATTTTAAATCAAATGCAAGGTGATACGTAACATCATCTAGTTGATCAGATTTGGTTTGCAGTTGAAAAATACTTATACAAACTTAAGTTACTTAAAAAAAAAAATCTGAGGTAGTGAGATTTTGAATCTGGCGGTCATTATGGCGCACTGTGTCCTGTGCCTTTGCTTTTTAAGCTTTTTATTTAATTCTAATTTATTTTTCAAAACCATCGTCAAAATCTCGTCAGTTATAGAGAGAACATCAGAGGTTTTTTTAGATACAGTTTTAAAACATTCCAGCAATAAGTATTTTTTCTGCATGTTTTTTAGTGAACAAGTGGCAAAGACTAGGTCGTATGGCGAACACTGGGTGCGAAAAGTGGCAAAGGTCGTATGGCGAACACTGGGTGTTTTACTCTAATTAGAGTTACTTAAAAAACGTTATTTGAAAAAATTCTTTATAAAAAAAATTTATTCATATATATTAGAGAACAATGATGATTTATTTATATAAATATACATGCATTTACAGGCTTCGGCAGGAATGGCGGACTGTAGACTGCGTCCGCCTCCACACCCTTGTAAATCAGTTTACACGGGCGAAATAAAGCTCGTGCAAAATATAAATTTTTGGAAAAAATAAAGTTAAGTACTTTTCAAATTTTTTAAAACAGTTAGTTTACCTAGTTAAAAAACTATTTCGTTTTTTAACTTCGTTTTTTAATTTCGCTTTTTAATTTTTAATTTCGTTTTTTAATTTCGTTTTTTAATTTCCTTTCGGATATGCTAAAAAAGTTATTAAAAAAATAATTTTTGAATTTTCTGATGTAAAAACAACAAATAAAAATCGAACAAGTTATTTCAAACAGCTATAACAGTTCCGTATTATTCTGTGTTATGTTAAAAGATAAATGATTAGTATGTTAAAAAGCAGGCAAAAAATGTGTTGCAAAAGAATTTAACGTTATTTCTTTGGAAATTTTTAAACTTATACAATAAGAACTGTTAGCTAATAAAGACAATTTTTTTTTTGTACAATCACACATTTTGCTTAATTGATTGAATAACTAGTTTGTCATACTTTAAAGTTGTATAAAGTAGTGCATATATCCTTGAATTCTTCCGCGTTAACTTCCAGTTTTTTTTTGGAAAAGGCGTTTATTCAATATCCTAATACTATGAAAGTTATACGAGTGAAAGCGAAGAAACTGCGTTCGATTTTGAAATTGAAGTTATTTTCGGTTAATTTATTTAAAATGAATCTTTATAAATAATTTATAACTATATATATTTCTTTTGTATGATAAAAATAATACTATATCGTCAGCTCGGAATGCAAGCGACACTGTGTTTAAATTGAGAAATTTGCATTCAAAGTTTAAAGTAAAAAATCTCTTTATGTAAACTTAATTTCATGTTGAAATTTAACAAAGTTAACTAAAATCAGTATAAGTTTTTATTTAAATTGTTAAAAAAAAAACAAAAAAAAACCTCCCGTAACTTAGAGCACTGTTTTTTAAATACGACAAATGTATTTCGAAATCAGAACATTTTGTCGAAATACAATTGTCATAGATGCAATTAATTTCATAGTAGGTAAATTAAGGTTAAATTTGCTAATATTGTAACTAACAATGACATATAAGTTTAGAATAATTTTAGTTTCACTGTCCTTCGCATTTTTTTTTTCCTTAAACCATTCCCAGTAACAAATTTGTCAGCATTATATTTAGAAATATACAGTTTTTAATCTGCAAGCTTCTTATATAGAAATTAATAATAGATTAATAGAGTATGATGTAAGGTTTCACTTACTAAATTTATAAATAAGTAAATGTTCACAACTTTTTCATTTTTTACAAATATTCACAACTTTTTTTATTTATTTTTTTTCGAATAATTGAAAAATAAAATAATTAATTTATTGCAAATTTTAATTTGTCTGTGAAAAATGATATAATTAAGTATAGATATAAAAAAAAACATTAAATATAAAAAACAACCATTTCCATTATTGAATCTTTTTTTTTACCATAAAGAAATATATATATACAATGTTTATTAAAACTTTGTATATATTTATTTTGAATTTTTAGGTATCCAGTTTTAATTTTTTAGTTGTTTTGTTTATAAAGTGTTAGTTTTACTGAAAATTTTGTTTACTTAGATTAATTAATAAAAAATTTATACAAAAATGAAGCCAACTACATTAATTGAACAAGTGTACAACTATTGTAATTTGCATACCAACGCTAAAACTAAGAGCATCGTAGAGTATTTTGTTGCCTATAATCACCCCGAAAGAATCATCAAACGTTATGTGGCAAAGTGAAAAACAATTAGCGAAAGTCTCATAAGCCTGGATCAGACAGAAAACCAAAAATTATAACTGCTAGGAACTTCAATCGTCTGAAAAGTCTTTTGAACAACCAGTCTCGAACTTAAACAAGAAAAATTGCAAATAAATTCAAATGTCATCATTCCTTCATTGTAAAAACATTAAAAAACAAAACAAACATTTGTTATTTTAAGAAAAAACAAATCCCTGATTGCACTGATAAACAGTTAAAGCAGTTGCAACTGAAGTGTGAATAGTCACGGTTTTTGAATTTGTCGCAAATTCAGAAATCGTTACTTTGTCATTGACGATGAGTCGTATTTTTACATTTAAACATACGAATAAAAATACTAATATTGGATTTTACTCAGATAAAGCAAAAAATGCACCAAAAAATGTAAAATATAAGCCCAAAAATAAATTAAAAAAATATATATTCTTGTGTTTTCCCTCGTGGAATCTCAAAACCATTTATTGTTCCTGCAAGACTGGCAATTAACCAAACAATCTACAAAAATGATTGCATCATCATATAATTGGATTCTTTTATCAACAAATATCACAGTGATAGTAATTATGTGTTCTGGTCTGACTTGGCCTCTTCACATTATGCCAGAAGTGTGACCAATTACCTCAATAAGAAAAATATCCGTTTTGTAACAAAGGTTGATAATCCGGCATGTGTCCCAGAATTACGACCAATAAAAGATTTCTGGTCAATCCTTAAATGCTACGTGTATGAAAACAAATGGGAAGCTCAAAATGAAGATCAGCTGCGAAAAAGAATTCGTTTTTATTAAAGAAAAGTTGACAAAAATCTTGTACAAGGCATGTGTGAACATGTATACAAAAAAGTTGACGCAGTACGTTGTAGTGGCGAGAAAGCATTATTTTAGTCCCAAAAGTAAAAAACTAATATATTACCTTACATTTTGTACTAATTTTTTGTTCATTAAACCTTTTGTTGTACTATTACTGCTTGTGTTTATTTTGTGCCAAATTTTTGTCACCGGGGGTTACTTTTTATTTACAAAAAACATGTGTTAAATACCAAGCAAGAGAATATAGGTAGTTAAATCTAAAGTCACGTGAGCAAATAGAACGCTGCTATTGGTCTACGTTAAGTACAACAAATGTATGTCGAACGACTCGTATAAAAAGTTCATTTACAACAAATAATCTAACGAACTATATTGAAAAAAAGTTTATCTATCAAATAATTTTTTTTGAAATAAAATCCCTAAAATTAAAAAATTCGCATATTTAAGTCATTTTTTTCAAAAATGTTGAATACGACACTTGTATTCCTGGCTGACGATATTTTAGATATATAATAATATATAATCTTCATATTTTATTTTTGTTTTTATACTTGCGCTATATTTAATACATTTAGATATTTTTTACAGCAATAAACCTGATACATAAATAATACTGCATTTAATACCCTTCTATTGGTTCTATTCATAAATAAATGTAAAAAAGATTTTTTTTTTTTATTTCATGTAACGCTTTTTATACACGCCCATATTATATAAGAATATATTTAAGAAGTATATATCAGATTTTAAGAAGTATATATTTAAGAAGTATATATACCAGAAGTTTATTTAAGAAGTATATATTTAAGAAGTATATATTTAAGAAGTATATATACCAGAATTTTAAAAAAACTATTTGTGCTAAGTCTCTTGGAAATTAAAAATTAGATTATCTCAAATTTTAACTTACATATCACATCAACATAACATATAACTTGTGTTTGTGTGTGGGATAGCGGGAGATTTTAAAGTTAAAACTACCGCTCCCCACTCTCCCGCTGTCCCACACACAAACACAAGCCTTTCAAAATTCCTTCCCACCTTCCCCTCCCCGCTACCTTAGATCACAAACAATTTGTTAGCATTTTTTAATAATCATTTTAAAACATTTTTTTAAAATTTTAAAATAAAATTTAATATTTTTAAAATATCATATTTGTTTTATAATCATATTATAGTTTTATAATCTGTCTGATATTAAATGAAAAATTTGTATTGTTTTTTTTAGTAAAACTTATAGAGTTTTTAGTAGTCGGTCATCATGATATTTAAATAAACTTGTTTTCAATTAATGCCGAACCGCAGCCAAAAGAAGTAAACATTTTAAGAAAGGTTTTTGCGTCAATACTTTATCTCTGCAAATAAACTGGTGAGCATAATTTGTTTCTGCAAATGAGCATTTCTTGCTCGCGAAGCTCAGATGCTCACCACCGCTAAACCACACAAAGATTCAACACGTCTTAAAAAATATATTATTTGAAAATAAATTTTAAGCATGACATGACATATAATAAAGAACTTCAAGAGTTTTGACGAGACATAAAATAAAAATATTTACTATATCTTGGCTGCTTACAGGCGTGTACTATCTAACTCCTTTATCGTAACATCGGAGGTGCTTAGTGTTTTGATATAACTTGTTACAATTAATGAGAAAAACGTCATATCGCATTTATAATTTAAACTAACTTATTTACTTAACTTATTTACGTTCTTTTTTTATGCTTTTATCTATATATATTTTAATTATATATTTTAACTATAAACACACTAAAAAATAGTTTTTTAATTCATCAAAGATCTACCAGTATGATACCAGCATCTACCATTATATATATATTTGGCTTTGACAAGTTTATTTACTTTGACAAGGATTTGCGACAAGTATTGTAACCCTTTTAAATTTTATGGGGTTCAAAATTTATACGGTCATAATTTTTGAACGCTGAGAAAGAATACAATGAAGCTTAATATTCATCGATAAATATAAATTTAGTTAAGAATAGCGAAAATAAAATTTTATCAACCAGTAACTCTCAAGATTTGGGTAGAGGCGCAAAAAACTTTAGGCTTTTTTGTTCCTAGGCTCTAATTACCACAATTTTTTGCAAATCATCTATATTTGACATAGGTATAAACATAAATGTTTGTTATTTTATCTATATATATATAACAACCAGGATATATATATATATATATATATATATATATATATATATATATATATATATATATATATATATATATATATATATATATATATATATATATATATATATATATATATATATATATATATATATATGAGGCAGATGAGGACTTCTTGGGGCCCGGGGCTATTTTTGTTTTGGTAGCCTTTTTATGGGCGAGAGCCTAAAATTGACTGAAAATAAAAAAATCTTTTAAAATTTTTGGGGGTCCCTAAATTTGCGGTGCTTGGGGCTATAGCCCCCACTAGATCCGGCACTGTATATATATATATATATATATATATATATATATATATATATATATATATATATATATATATATATATATATATATATATATATATATATATATATATATATATATATATATATATACATATATATATATACATTTTTAAGCAATAATTTATTCACTGTTCTAAGGGGAAAAAAAACAATTTATCTGAATAGAATGTTGCATGATTGACATATATACAGCATCAATATTAATAGCTTCAATATATTATAAATTACTTTATCAAATGTTTATTTCTTACTATCTTTGCTTGAATAAACTACAACCTAATAATTAAAAAAACCTTTCTAGGTATAACCATTAAAGGTATATGTAAGTGTGGAGGTTATATGGGATGAGAGGCTTTGTTTTATTTTAGCTGATTTTAGCACAAGTATGAAGTAATAAATGTGGATGTACTTTGGCTATTACTTACATTATTTTAAAAAAATATATAATGCTATAAAATAGTGGAGGAAAGTAAGAAAATATCTTTTTAGAACCTCCGTTGTTGACGGCCGTAAATAATATACTAGCATATACACTTTTAAAGTTTTATATATTTTTTAATAGATAATAACACTATACCTCTCATCACCTTTGCAAAAACGCGAGATTCGGATAACAAAATAAGGAAAATTGACGCCATTAAACACACCCCTAAACCAATCTTTTTTGGCATCTTTGTATATCTTCTAGAAAAAATCTTTTTAATCTAAAGGTATAAAAGTTTTTTAATTGTAAATTTATATTAAAATAATTTTTTATTGATGATAAAAATAATAACTGTAAAACTTGACATCTTTTAAAATTTTTCCACACAAACGAATATAATAGAACTATCAAATTATAATATAAAGAGATATATTAGATTTAAAATTGGGTTTAAAAACGCAGATTCAAGTTTTTAGTTTCTGGACCCAAACCCAAATTCTGACGTTCAAAGTTAACCATTTTGGACAGGCTGGCAAACTTCCAAAAACGTTTGAAAAAATTTAACATTAATAAAAGTTTGGTTAAAGAGTTTACGTTTGTGTGAATAACAATGAAATAACAATTTAAAAAAGTTTTAATTGTTATTTCATTATTTTTAATTAAAAACGATATTTACCTTCATTTTTTTGTTTTTAACAACAAATATTTATTTTTAAAGTATATTTATAAAAATATAGTTTTTATAATTATATTTAAAGTAATTATAATTAATTTTATATTTAAAATAATTTTTATTTTATTTAGCCTTCTTTACTTTAGCTATCAAAACCCTCCTTCTTAGACTTATATATATGTCATTATCATACCTTCTTTTTTGTATTTCTACACATGTATCTTATAGATGATCATATAATTAAATAATGCACTAGAGATAACAAAGAGAGTCTGAAGTAAAAGCATAAGGGGCTGTCCATTAATAACGTCAATAAACTTTTTGAAATTTTTACCTCCCCCCTTTCCCTTGTCAACGATTTGTCAAATTTCCAGAGACCCCTCCCCCCCCTTAAAATTACGTCAATTTTTGATTATCCCCCCCCCCTCCTATAGAAAGAAGCTACGCTACAAACTCAGCCAAATTTTCCGTTATTTAAACAATGAAACTCAAAAAAAAAAATGTTGACATCAACTTTAATTGACCTTCCGCCCTCCCCCTTGTGAAAATTTGTCAAAAGTTCGGACCCCCTCCCCCCTATTTTGTTGACGTAATTAATGGACAACCCCTAACAATCCCGCTTAAAAAAATTTGACGTTATTGAGTTCTTATTTAAATTTAACACATAAAAGTCACAAAAAATCTCTTACACAAAATAATTTAGCAGCTATTTATTAGCATTATTCTTAAACAAGATAAGAGTTTATAAAAACAAATAAATTTGCAAACTATTTTATAACGCTTTAAAAAATTTATTTATTAAGGTTTGATATCATAAAATGTCAACCGCTGCATTCTTTCTACCGAAGTTGCACTGCAACGCATTCTATTGTTTAACTTATCACTTGAGTAAATCTTTACAATTTTAAAAAAAAAATTGTTAATAGTTTTTACAAATCTGCTATTAGTTAAGCGTTGGTCAGGTGAAATTAATTTAGTTGCAGCGCTTTGCTGCATATAATATTAGTGAGAAAATTACACACGAAAGAACAGAACATTCTAACAAACACAACAAATAGTTCATGCTATAATTTATACTTATCGACTCCGAACGTTTTTACTTTAACATGTAAGAAAAATAATTGGCGCAATAACTGTATCATTTTACAAATCTAAAAGCAAAACACATGCCTAAATATAAATATAGATAAATGCTTCAAAGCCTATTTTAAACAAGATGGAACAATGTGGTTCTGTTTAAAATCTCAGCGGTATCTGATTCCTTATTGGAAGCAACCATTTCATTACCCAATGTTTAATAAGTTTGTTTAAGTAACTCTTTTTCAATAAAAAAATTAAAAAATAAATTTACATAAAAAATCCCGAAACATGTCATATAAATAGTAATTATAAAAGTTGCATCATAAATATAAAATATTGAAGATTTTCATCTGTCTAAAAAATAGATTCTAACTTTTCATTATAGTTATGAAAATAAAGAGGATTAAAAATTTTAATAAGAATTGAAAATAACGTAGCTTGAGAATAAATGCGCAAAATATCTCCATAGTTACTATTACTATTTTTTGTTGGAGTCCTGGAAAAAACAATTTGCAAAACTCTCGGGAACTCTAAGGTGACTGCAAAATAAGTTTTTGTTGGATTCTCTGAAAAAACAAGGAGCAAAAGTCTCGGGAACTTTAAGGTGACAAAAAAATACTTTTTTCTTGGAGTCCCGGAAAAAAACAATGAGCAAAACCTTCTTAGAGTGGCGGATCCAGCATTTTTTGGTCTTTGAGATTGCTAACTGCCAGACATGGAGCAAACTTCAAACTTTTATGTTTATATTTATGTCAAATAAAGATGCTTTGCAAAAAAATTGCGATGATTGGAGGTTGGGAATAAAAAAGCCCCAAAACTTTTTTGTTCCCAAACTCTAATCATCGCAATTTTTTGCAAAGCATTTTTATTTGACATAAGTATAAACATATAAAAATTTAGAGTTTGCTCCATGTCTGGAAGTTAGCTTTCCTTAAGTTCAAAATGCTGGATCCGCCCCTGCCTTCATAGCAGAAGAAAAAATTAATGTCGTCCAAAGACTTAAAATTAGAAAATAATTTGATCAAACAAAAAAAATACTAAAATATTTTTTTTCAGATATAAATTAAATTTCTTTTAACTAAAAAAATCATATTTGTTTGAAAAAATTTTATTGCTATTATAGGTCGGTAAACAATGCACCGCATGCTAAAAAAATTTAAAGCTCGTATCTGTTCATAACAAACAAAACCGCTACCGCATAAATATTAATTGCCTGAAACATATTTTTTGGGGGAAATATATACTTCAAATAATACTTTAAAAAAAAAATTAATTATGTTATTAATCCAAAAAGAAATAATAAAATCATCAAATAAACAAAAAAAAACGACTATTTAGAAAGGTTAGCGAAGCGAGCGAACGATTTAGTCAAAAGACTTATCGTAAAGAACGTGCTCAAAACCGCTGCTTTCGATTGTTTCTTATACATCATTTAGCATTACTATTACATTTGCAACGGTTTATAAACACTGCACGTTTAAGATGCTTAGCTGCCTGTACATTAAACTGAAAACTCAAGAACAAAATGAAATCCAGAAAAAAAAATTTTACCCTTATAAACTTTTTTTCTTTACAATGTTTTTATTCACAAAACAGATTTTGCACGGTTTGCAAAGCACACTTCAATTTGCGTTTTCCCAATAAGAATTTTTTAAATTGCTCACTTAAATAAGTAGAGAAAAAGCGCGTTCTGGAATAGTCTCTTGATCTTTATGTTTTTAATTGAAAGTTTAATTTCAATAATACCCATTGACGATAAAATGCGTTTTGTTGTTCGTATTTCTTGCTGTTGCTTGTGTTTGTTGCTGTTTTTTTAGGGTTTGGGAAAATTTTTTTTAAAACGTGTTGACCTATATTCCAGAAACAATTTTTAATTAAAAATATGAAAAATTAAAATAAAAATAAATTTTTGCTTTTTATTTTTTGTGGATCATGCACATGGTTGAGGTTCAGCACAAATTTTTTGCACAGGTGTTAAAAATTTGTTTTCGACTTAAATCATGTTTGAAGAGAACGCTGAAGGTGGTCACGCTTTTAATCTTCATGTGAAAAAGAAAGATATGCGCAGATTTTGTTGTTTTTCTAAAAATTACCAAAGAAAAATAAAATTGATATTTAAATATATTTATAAAAAATAATCTTTAGCAAAAATATTAAACTACATTTTGTGAATTTTTAATTACAAATATTTTGTTAAAGTTTATTGTTATAGGTAGGGTTGCCATTCTCCTCTTTTTTAGTAAGAGAACGCGGCGCTAAACTAATTAAAATTGATGTTTTCACTGCGCTCTCCTACGGAAAAAAGAGGAGAAATGGCAACCCTAGTTATAAGTGATGCACCCAAGGCTGTCCCGAAGAGATTTTAAAAACGTGTTTGTTTTAGCCGACTAATGACTAAAGACAAGGTTTAAAAAAAAAAAAGTTTCTTGTTTTTCAACATATGCCGATTTGTCGCCAAAATGTTCAAACTTGACAACTGCAGGTACAAGTTTGCCGACTAATTTTTTAGTAAAGTTTTGTAGGGGGGTTAGACACCCCTTTTAATTATTCATATTTATGAACATTTTGAAACAAGATATTTAGTCGTAATTTTATATAATGAGTATATTATTTTCAGCAGTAATTAATCTAATATATAATATTTTAACGAATTTCAGCAGTAATTATACACTGATAATGCCTCATTTAACACCATAGATTATAATGACGTTTTATTAAAAAGATTAACTATTAATCTAATATATAATATTTTAATGATCTACTAACTCCAGCAAAATTTTTACTTAAAAAAAGACATTTACTGTTTATATATGTTCACGAAGTGTAATAACTATTTAAAATGTATACATACATATATATATATATATATATATATATATATATATATATATATATATATATATATATATATATATATATATCTTTAAAAGTCATTTCTTGTTATACGATATAAATATATATTTAATATGTAAGGTGATTTTAATAAAAAAGGCAGAGTATAACTATTTTTAAATATATTTTGATGTAAAAATATATCAACAATATTTCGCTGACCTATTGTGGTCAGCGTCATCAGGTAATAATAAAAACGTTACAAAATAACATAAAAACAAACCGTTTGAAAAGAAGACATTAAAAAGCGTCAAATATAAAAACCAATTAAATATAATAATGACGTCAGTTAAATTTTTGTCAAAATGGGTCCCCAAGTTCTTGTTTTAACCTTATCCCCGTCATCTCGATTTAGAACACCTTCCCCAATACCTATCTCACATCGAACTTTCGCTTTGTTAATCTCCAGAGATTCTCTAATTTTTCGTATCTTGTATTCTTGAACGACTGCCAAGGTCTTAGGATTTAGCCAATCAAAGTTACCACGGCATGTTTTGGAATGTTCCGTGGCTCCTGAACTCGACCATTTTTGATTTTTGCAAGCTCTTTGGTGTTCTGCACTTCTTGAAATGATTTTCTTTTTGGTCTCACCAATATATATATTTCCGCATGAGCATTTAAGTTGGTAAACCCCCGGATTTGAGTTCGGAGGTAGTTTAGTTTTGTTGTTGCATAATATATTACTTAAACTATGAGCTGAAGTAAATATAACTCTGATGTTTTGTTTTTTAAATTCTCTTCGGAGTTTTGGGCCAATAATAGGTATCCAAGGTAGTTTAACAAACTTTTGATCTAACTGATTAGATGTAGTATTTTTTGAAATGCCGTCTAAATAGTTTTTGGTTATTTTAATAAGATTATTTTTATTATAGCCGTTTTCAAAAAATGTATTTATGAGGAAATCAATTTCTTGTGAAAGATATTTTTTAGAGCAGATTTGTTTTGCTCGACATAAAAAACCTTTAAAGACGCCAATAGTTATGCTCGGGTTGATGTTGGAGTTTGGTTTTATTTGAACATTTGTTATCCCATCCTTACGGTGTATTTGAAACTTATAAAATCCATTCATTGTATTTGTAATACAAATATCTAAAAAATTAAGTTGTTTTCTTTTGTTTTCTAGTTCAACGGTATATTTTATGGAGGGGTTTTGTTCATTTAAAGCTTTAAGAAATAATTCTTGCTTTTCTTTTGAATCGAAGCGAGCATGGCTATCATCCACATATCTTTTATAAGTTATTGGTTGGAATGAATTAACAAAGGCTATATCAAGTGCTCTTTTTTCTATATTTAGCAAAAATGCTTCAGCTATGACTACCATCAATGATAAACCAATTGGACCTGAATTAGGTAAAATTCGGATTTTATCTTCGTATAAAAAGTAACATATGCTTAACGATAGTTCAATTAATTGGTGTATATCTATGAGAGTTAATTTATTCCTAGTTTTTAAATCTTCAAGATCATCGTTCAATATGTTAATAATAACAGGAATTGCTTCATTGATTGGTACGGATGGATATAAATTAATTACATCAAAAGAAACCTGAATTTCATTAGGGTCTATCTTCCATTCTTTAGCATCGTTGACAAAGTTTCTTGAATTAATTAGTCGAGTTATGTTTTTGTTTAATGTTGGTTGGATAATTTTAACCAGATATTCAGATGTTCCATAAGGAGGTGTGTTAATAGTGGAAACAACAGGACGCATTGGGTAGTTTTTTTCCGGTTTGTGTGCTTTAACCATTCTTTAGATTCTAGGTGGAACGCAATCTGATGGATACATTTTAAAATAAGTAGCATTGTCTAACTTACCTTGTTTTCTTAATTTACATAATAGTTTTTGAAATTTAGTAGTGAATGTGGGTGTTGGGTCGTAATCAATAATTTTACTATTTTTTATTTGTTCTTCTAATTTCGCTTTTGCTTCATTTTCGCATAATAAAGCAAAACCTGTTCCTTTGTCAAACGGATATATCTTGATATATCTAGTTTAAGTAATATATTATGCAACAACAAAACTAAACTACCTCCGAACTCAAATCCGGGGGTTTACCAACTTAAATGCTCATGCGGAAATATATATATTGGTGAGACCAAAAAGAAAATCATTTCAAGAAGTGCAGAACACCAAAGAGCTTGCAAAAATCAAAAATGGTCGAGTTCAGGAGCCACGGAACATTTCAAAACATGCCGTGGTAACTTTGATTGGCTAAATCCTAAGACCTTGGCAGTCGTTCAAGAATACAAGATACGAAAAATTAGAGAATCTCTGGAGATTAACAAAGCGAAAGTTCCATGTGAGATAGGTATTGGGGAAGGTGTTCTAAATCGAGATGACGGGGATAAGGTTAAAACAAGAACTTGGGGACCCATTTTGACAAAAATTTAACTGACGTCATTATTATATTTAATTGGTTTTTATATTTGACGCTTTTTAATGTCTTTTTTTTTTTTAAACGGTTTGTTTTTATGTTATTTTGTAACGTTTTTATTATTACCTGATGACGCTGACCACAATAGGTCAGCGAAATATTGTTGATATATTTTTACATCAAAATATATTTAAAAATAGTTATACTCTGCCTTTTTTATTAAAATCAACTTACATATTAAATATATATTTATATCGTATAACAAGAAATGACTTTTAAAGATTATATATATATATATATATATATATATATATATATATATATATATATATATATATATATATATATATATATATATATATATATATATATATATACATATATATATATATATATATATATATATATATATATATATATATATATATATATATATATATATATATATATAATATATATATATATTATCTTTGAAATAGCTAAATTCCAGACATGAAGCAAATTCCAAATATATATATATATATATATATATATATATATATATATATATATATATATATATATAATATATATATATATATATATATATATAATATATATATATATATATATGTTTATAACTTATGTCAAATAAGGATGCCTTGCAAAAAAAGTGCGATGATCGGAGCTTGGGAACAAAAAACCCCTAAAATTTTGTCCCCCCTGCCCCAAACGTGATAGCAACAAGTTGATGAAATATTTTTGTACTATTTTCAACTAGACTTATATTCATCAAAAATTTTAAATTTCATAGTAAAATATTTTAGCGTTTAAAGACCATATAAAATTTAAACCCCCCTCAATATGAGGGGGTTTTAAATTTTATATTGTCATTGCTGTGAGATAATACTATGAAACTTAAAATTTATCGATGAATATAGGGGAAAGCGGGGCAACATGGCGAATGGGATAAGATAGGTTTTCATATAACAACTCAACAAAAAATCTTAAAGTTGGGTGAAAACGGAACTGTATTTGCATCTTTTATTTTAAAACACAAATTGGTTTTTTTAAATATTATTAACGCAATTTTATACGCATAAGTTTACTTTTTGCACTTAAAAAAAAATTCATGAGTTTCGTTTTCTCATAATGGTGTCCTTTAAGTTTAACTTCTTTAGAAGTAGTTTTTTGCGACTTATGTTTGTTTTGTTTTACTTTAGTTAAAGTAATTTTTAGTTTTTAAGATTTTATGAAATTAGAGGTAAAAATTGCATAATAAGTCATCTTGCCCCGGTCACGTGACCATATGACAAAATTATGAACTTTTTATTTTAATATTTATTTCAAATATTTATTTTAATATTTATTTAAACTAAATGAATCAGACTACCGGTCTATCTTGCTCACATCCGTTTCATGCAAAATGGTAGAAAGTATTTTTCAAATAAGTATAATAGAACGCTGTATTGCTAATGGCTTAACTACTTTAAAGTAGCATGGCTTTGTTCATCGCAAGGGTTGCGTCTCAAACTTGCTAAAAACTTGGGACATGACGGAAGCCATTCATCACAGCCACGCAGTAGACGTCATAAACACAGGCTTTGCAAAGGCGTTTAATAAAGTGCCGTATTAGCGCCTTCTTCATAAGCTAAGAGCCTACAATATTCATGGCGCGTTCTTAGACTGGATCTCAGCTTGATTACTCGACCTAAGTTAACCAGTAGTCATCAACGACATCACATCTGAATAGCAAGGAGTCACTAGTAGCGTGCCTCAAGACACGGTCTTGGGTCCATTGCTTTTCAAAACCTTCATTTATGAACTGCCGGACAACATTATTCATCATATGAAACTGCATGCTGACAACAGTAAAATTATTAGCATAATTAAAAACAAGTTGGACAGCATCATTTTTCAAGCTTAAATTGGTAGACAAGTGGAATGGTCACATATTTGGCTCATGCATTTTAACATTAAGAAATGCAAAGTTGATGCTTTGTCTGTAGCTTCTGTGTATTTTTTTTGTCATCATTGAGGGGCCTGGTGTAGCGCTTACTATAAACAGATTTATTATGTTTTTGTTTTTGTTTTTTTGATCACTGAATAATAATAAATAAACTTGAAAAAAAAAAATTGAAAAAAAAAAATGAAATTAATGAAATAAGTCTATAAATAATAATTAGATATAGAAAAAAAGTTTTCAATACTTCAAAAAAACTACCAAAATAATTACTCTTAAAATTTTAGTAAATATGACTATCTAAGCTAACTCTTACAATTAGGCAAGAATTTCGTCAAGATGTCAACGGTCTTCCGTTCCATTTTTGTCATTTCAAATGTCATGATATAATACTTTAAATTTAGGTTAAAATTGCACTTTTTTGAGCAAGGATTATATGATTGACATGTTTTAATAATGCTTGGTTATAGGTTTAGCAACTGTTTTCTTAAATTTTTGAATTGTTTTGGAACGTTCAGTTTCGCTTTTATATCTGACAAAATTTTGAGGTTTTATAAAGTTGCCTGAGCTTGAACGAGTTTTTGCTCATATTGATGTAAAATTTTCGAAATTTTGCGTTTTCATTTAAAGAAAGAATACACTTTCGACGCCCAAATTTAACTTGGTTTTATCTACACCTTCTCTTTTTTGCAAGATTTTAGACTCAAAGAAAATGCTCATAAACTGCCCACCTATCAACGCTAACGTAGACAAATCCGAGAATAAATATGACTTGCTTGGTATGAGAAACTTCTGGAGTTTCGAATAATGATTATTTGAGCATCATTAAATATTGTAACTATCATAAATATCGTAATATCGTAAATACCATAAATATCATAAATATCGTGATATCGTAAATATCGTATCGTAAATATCCTAAATATCGTAACTATCGTAAACAGTAAATATCGTAACATTAGTAAATCGCGTACAATTCCTTCGCACTCTTTGAGTTTGATTTTGTAATCTTTTCAGTGCAGCACCGAGACTCAAACAACAAAATGAAAATAAACCTCTAACAACTTTTTTGTGAATAAAGCTCCTTTTTATAATAATATTTGATTAAAAATTTTTATTTAAAAAATAAAAACAAATTTTTTCATGAAATTATTTTAAAGTTTTTATATAGCTAAAATAATAATTTTTATGAGTTTAAATAAGTTAAACAATTAGGGGTGGAAGTTGGGGTTAGTTTTAGTCATAGCACACTTTGTAATTGGCCTAACCCCGTGTGGTTGACGTCATAAAATGGAGGCAAGGTTTTTAAAATAGAAAAAGCAGTAAGAAATAAAAATAAACAACAAGATGTATAAAAAATATTTTGAAATATAATACTGTTTTTACTTTTATTATATTAACTATATGCAGTGTTATTATATCAATTTAACAGAAAACAGTTGCTATAGACCTTTGTTCTGGTATTTCACTAATATGGTTCTCACGATTCATCATTAAAATTTAATGAATTATTTTTGATTTTAACAGTATGCATTTTTTCAAATTGTTGTTTTCCTAAAGAATTATTTTATCAGGTTTCATATAAATATTAATAATTTTTTTATAGATTCATATTTACAAAATAATAACAAATATTATTTGAGAAAAAAAGTTTGTAAAATTTGAGTTTTGCATGCTTTTTTTGTATTTTTTCTTAAATGACCGAACTTAAGCGGTTTTACGTTTTGCAGATCAATAAGAAACATAATTCCTGTGTCAATTATTTTGTTTATGAGGTCAAGAATATAATTTCTGACCTTTTTAGTTTTATGAGAAAACAAAATGGTTGTCAAAATCCAAGATGGCGGTCAAAATGGCTTCGAAATTGAAATGTTCAATATTTCAGCTTGTTGATCAAATTAAAATTCAACTTTTGCATCAAGTATTATGTTTTTTAGGACAAGCAATTCATTTTTCACAATTGTATTTTTTTAAAAAAAAAATAATTGTTGGTAATAATCAAGATAACTGCCCAAACAGCACCCAAACTAAAATAAGAAAATTTGTATATCACTTTTTTAAATCAATTTTTGTGTCTTGTAGTTTGTCATTGAGGAAACAAAGATGTAGCATGCCAAATTTGAATTTTGAATAAATGTTTTATACATATCAGTATACAAAATATACTTTGTTTTATAAGTTTCGGTATACAAAGTTTTATATCGGTATACAAAGTCTTTTACATATCGGTGTACAAAGTCTTATACATATCGGTTAAAAACGTTTTATACATATCGGTATGCAAAGTTTTATACGTATCGGTATACAAAGTATACTTTGTTTTAACGAGACTCTCATACAACTTTGTTTTGACAAAAAATTTATACAAGTACAGTAATTGTTCATAGTAAACCCACGGTTCATGGTAAACCCACGGTTATACAAGTCTTT